AGGTTGTTGGCAGAGTTCCCGCCTACCATCGCAGAAGACGTACGGCTGAAATCAGCATTCATTTGAATGTTTTCAAATTAATGTTTGCGGTCAAACGGCTGGATGTTGATGACCAGGTCACATATGTTTTTTATCGTAAATTGTTGCCTAACTTTGTCGTGTTGGTACTTGGGTTAGGTAGCATTACAGCCGTTTTCTCGCGGGAGAAAGGACCTCAACATGAACAGGACACCTCTGTGTTTGCGCGGACCTCCACAACTGTCTGAAGATACGTTGGCCTCGGGAACTCCAACGGCACAGGACATAGGTGGCAGGACCCCCGGATATAGAGTCAGTGTATGAGTGTCGGCGCGGGGCCGGCTCCAACGGGCACAGGACATCAGGTTGCAGGGACCTCGTCAGAAAGAAGTATGTTCGGCGGGGCCATCCAAAACGGCACAGGACTACGAGTTGGCAGGGACCTCCCAGCGGAACCTCCAACGGCACAATGAAGTAGCGGACTATTTGTTTGTAAACACGAGAGCTCTAGAAGGAACAAAAATAGAGTGGAGTGCCGTAATCCAGCCGTTCTGCCGATAGAGATGGAAAGTTTGACTGGGTGAGGGTGTGTGGTGAGCAGCAGAGCGATACTGGAGAGGGAGTCTTTGGAGCGGGGAACTTGAACGTGTGAAGAAGACCTTGAGAGGATTGCGCTCAGGCGAACTCGAGAGGAGACGTTCAAGACTGAGTCTTGGAGAGAACGAGAGGTTTGTGTGTGACGATGCAGACACGAGGAACATCGATAGTAGCAGAGACTTCGGGGGTTTCTCTCTCGCTCTCGCGCGCTCGCTCTGTGAGACATGTGTCCTAAGAGGTGACTTTCTGTGTCAATCGTTGAACAGAGCCCTGGGGTAGGAAGCGAACCATGATAGTAGGTGTGTGAGAAGTGCGAAAGTAGAGAACTGAGAGTGAGCGTCGATGTATGCGTAGACACTGACGGATGGTCTGACTGAGGGGCTCTCGAAGATTTACAGGAGACTGACATCAGAGAGGTACTCTGACGAGGAAGATGCTCAGAGTGAGGATGACATGCCGAGAGGTGAACTTGAGATGTGGAAACAACTGACTGTGATTGGATGACTCGAAGAGGGACACGTCGAGTAGCAAGGTGCACTCGAGAGGGGACATATGAGGAGACGCAGAGAGGGTGCGGAGTCGGTCTGGCCTGTACTGCACATCCGTCACGTCCGTGGGGAAGACGTACTGCCGCGTCGGTGCTCATGCAACGTTCTGAACAGCCAAACAGCGGCGACCCACCGGTGCTGGAGTCAGCTGGGTATTCGACAGGACTCGGGGAGCCGGCGTCGGCTGAAAGCTGCACATTTGCTACTCAGGGGCGCTTAACGCAAGGAGCATGGTCTCAGGATGCTGAGCACTGTCAGCTGGCCTCGTGGTAGAGAAGGATTCGGGCGAATCTGCTCTCTCCTTTTGTGACTAGATGGACTAGTTGGTGATACTGTAGACGAGACAAGGACTCGGGGGCGCCTGGGATCAGTATGGCTTTCCTGACGGACTTGTTAAGCTGTGGCCCTGGAGAATACCTGTGAAAGGGCAAGTCGGAACCATGGGGTACTGGGCCGAGTACTGAACGCCAAGTACACCATGGCTTGTAAGGTCCGGTTTACTGGAGCGCGGATAACCATATTGGCCCGTATG